CAACGTTGCAGGGCCAATTTAACCCAACGGCTTTTATTTGCACAAATAAGGTAGACACCCATAAGAATATGTTTCATGCTATATATCTAAGCTCTAGCTCATTGGGCTTTTTAAAAAGATTCTTTTTAAGTTTTTACTATTTACACATATAGTTAAAAACAATGACACCCCTGGGGCCGGGCCAGTTTTGACTCCAGGGCTTTTATTTGAACAAACTTTGTAGACACTTACTAGAAGATATTTCATGCTTAATATCTAAACTCTAGCTATTTGGGTTTTTTCAAAAAAGATTTTAAGTTTTTGCTATACAAATATAAAGAAAATCAATGACCCCCGGGGCAGGCCAATTTTGACCCCAGGTCTTTTATTTGAACAAACTTTGTAGACACTCACTAAAAGATGTTTCACGCTTAATATCTTAGCCATAGCTCTTTGAGTTCTTTAAAAGAAGATTTTTTAAGTGTTTACTATATGCATATAGGGAAAATCAATGACCCCCCGGGGCGGGGTCAATTTTGACCCCAGGGCTTTTATTTGAACAAACTTGGTAGACACTTATTAGAACATGTTTCATGCTAAATATCTTAGCTCTAACTCTTTTGTTTCTTTAAAAGAAGATTTTTTAAGTTTTTACTATATGCATATAGGGAAATCAATGACCCAATGGGGCGGGGCCAATTTTGACCCCAGGGCTTTTATTTGAACAAACTTGGTAGACACCCATTAGAACATGTTTGATGCTAAATATCTTAGCTCTAGCTCTTTGAGTTCTTTAAAAGAAGATTTTTTAAGTTTTTACTATATGCATATAGGGAAAATCAATGACCCCCTGGGGCGGGGCCAATTTTGACCCCAGGGCTTTTATTTGAACAAACTTGGTAGACACCCATTAGAACATGTTTCATGCTAAATATCTTAGCTCTAGCTCTTTGGGTTCTTTAAAAGAAGATTTTTTAAGTTTTTACTATATGCATATAGGGAAAATCAATGACCCCCCGGGGCGGGGCCAATTTTGACCCCAGGGCTTTTATTTGAACAAACTTGGTAGACACTCACTAGAAGATGTTTCATGCCAAATATCTAAGCTCTACCTCTTATGGTTTTTTAAAAGAAGATATTTAAAGTTTATTCTTTCGGTTGCCATGGCAACCAGAGTTCTGCATGGAATTAAATTCTTTGAACAATTTTTAAAGTTGACCACCAAAGGAACATTCCTGTGAAGTTTGGATGAAATTGGCTCAGTGGTTTATGAGGAGATGTCATTTAAAGTAAAAGTTTACGGACGGACGACGGACGGACGGACGGACGCCGGACGAAAAGCGATCACAAAAGCTCACCCTGTCACTTTGTGACAGGTGAGCTAAAAAAGTAAACAATGTATATTATCTATGCCCCTGGTTAAAACATGATAGAAATATCCCCAGAACCTTTTTACTCACAATAATAATACATGTAATTATAACAGCATTAATAAGTACATCGCCTTATCTAATAGTCTGAATCTTACACAATTTAATGTTGCATGACAAACATTCTATTATAAAGCTTTCAATATTTCAGTTACTTCATACATAATCAGTGTTCTTTTTTAATTAAAGCATATATACAGAACTTGCTAATATGAAAAACAAATTTGGCCACGATAAGTTTATCTCATGTATAAAATTGCAACTTGCTTGCAATTTAAGTAATTTTATTTTAAGATTCTTATGCTAGAAAGTATGGTGATTGCTCAATTTTAAGTCATTTGTTAAAAACATTTTCATAAATCGGAAACACACTGTATAAATGGCTTGGTACTTCATATCAATTGTGAAATTTCTTTTATTAAGAATATTACTTACTGATAAATGTTCACAAAATTGCAAATACACTGTAAATCTAAAAACAATGCCACATAATTAAGGTATAATCAAGTTATATAATGATTAAGACAATGGATTGAAATGATAGAAAAACAAGCAAATGTAAAATGAACATAAAAAATATATACATGTAACACTATTGACCATAAGAAACAGTTAAGTTAAACAAATGTAATAGTTATTATGCATTTAAATTTGGGGTGTAGTTTCATGTTTCTTCGGAAATTGAAGTCAAAATAGTTCTCAGAAGTCAAAAAATTTCTCTGACAAAGATAGAAATGTTATGAGCATGTAAAGCTCCCACAAACTTTCTGATATAACTCTAGTGCAATCACTGTTTGTCAAATTTCAATAGATAAATAATGAACACATGCAAAATATTTTTTACTTTGACTAGAATAAAAAAAAATGATACCTTTATTTACACTTTGTGTCCACAATGATAATAGCATATAAATAAATATTATCATGTCACTTGTGCCTGGTTATATATATAAAAAAATTTCTAATAAAGGAATGTACAAGTTTGTTTTGCGTATGTTAAGAACAACTTAAGCATGTAAATAAAAAGTACTGGGAACATGGTATTTTAAAGTCATTATAAGTAGATTTCAACAATAATAAATGAATAATTTCAAAATTAAAAAAAAAAAAAAAAAAAAAAAAAAAAAAAAATGGGTCAAAGACAGAAAAGGCCTGGTTGCATTTATATACCAAATATCATGATGCTGTAATGTTTTGAAAAAATTTACACTGACCATTTTATATGGAAAATTTAACTAAGTCAGTTAACAGGAAGTGGATGAGTGAAAGACTTGAAATCGAATCCCACAGTATGAGACCATGTGTCAATGCTGTTTGTCAAATATCAAGAGCCTGTGATAAGTAGTTGCTAAAAAAAACTGTTACGAAAATTTCCTACCATTGACCATTAATGTTGAAAATTTAACGGTAAACAGGGCGTGGTGAGCGACCGACCTGAAATCAAATCCGACGGTATGGGACCACGTCAATACTGTATACCAAATATCAAAGAGGCTGAGATAAGTTGGTATGGAAGACAAAACTATGAACATTTGTTTACATATATTCCATAAATAAGTTCAAGGTGGGGGGGGGGGTAATTCTGGAAATAGTCATGCTTGTCGCACAACATATGTGTAATGATAAGAAATATAAAAAAGTAAATTAAATTAATTATAATATTTCTTTAAAAAAAATCTAAGTTCAAAGGGATATTAACCTGAAAATATTGCTTTAAGAGTTATGAACCTAGTCACATAAGATGTAATTGATGATAAGGAATATGTATTTGAAGTAAGAGATAGATGCCTTTGAAACTAAAGAAGTCATAGTAAAAAATAATATTTTTCAAGTAAAAAAAATCTAAGTTCATGGGGAGGTAATTCTTGCAATATTGGTGCTAGCGTTAACAACCTTGTCACATAACATTTGGTTAATGATAAGGAACATATATTTGAAATATGAAGTTGATCCCTTAAGAAATAAATAAGTAACAGTAAATAATAGCTGTCGGTAGGACAGCAACGCTCTACCATTCTAAGTGCTTGATAGAAAAAGAGCCTTGATAATGTAAAATGTTAACAAAAGGGCCAAATTTTCCTTTAAATCCATGTTACTGTTATAGGGCCAAATTTTCCTTTAAATCCATGTTACTGTTATAGGCCTTGAAGAGAGTCCTATTATGCTCTCAAAGAAGAGTATAAAATTTCAACTTGTTCCTAGCCAGATGTCAATAGTATATGAAAATATCTGAGGTGGTATGCAAACTTTAAATAATATAAAATCTAAGTCAGAAAAGGGGCATAATTCTGTAAAAATGCTTGATCCAGTTATCTCCTCCTGTCTACAGGTTGGGGTCTTGATGGTGAACATGTGTGCAAAGTTTCAAAGCCATATATCAATGGACTTTGATATTTGAGATATTACAAAAACTTTAACATAAGTTATTACACCTAAGCTGACACAGACGTCGACACAACACTGACGCACTAGGTGACTACAATAGCTCTACTTATTCTTATCGAATAGTCGAAAGCTTAAAAATAACTTTTTTTAGAAAAATTCTATCTTTCAAGAGGAGATAAATTTGAAAATATTTTGGGGGTGCTAGAGTAATGAACCTTGTCACATAAGATGTGGTTGATGATAAGGAACATATATTTGCATAGGTGCAAGTTAAAAGTATCAGAAACCCTGAAAACCTGAAATTAGCATTATTTGTATTGGTTTTATATAGTAAAAGAGTGCTTTCAGAAGTATAAAAAAACCTGAACTTCAGGCATATGCCTGAAAACTTGCACCCATGTATTTGAAGTATGAAGTTGATCCCTTAAGAAATAAGGAAGTAACGATAGAAAATAATATTTTTTAAGGAAAATTTTAAGTTCAAGGGGAGATAAATCTGAAAATAGTGGTGCTAGAGTTATGAACCTTGTCACATAAGATGTGGTTGATGATATGGAAAACCAAAACTTTAATCTAAATAAGGACGCGGACCCCGGGGCAAGAAGGACGGCTCTCCATATACTTTGTATAGTCTAGCTAAAAATGAAAAGTAAGAAAGTGTTTTATCCAGTAAACATTAATATAAGCATAAAAGTGATATGGCACTTTTTGTACTAAGAAGCGAGGAATGATATTTTATCTTTTCTTGCATTCTAAATCTATAGTAAATGATATTATTACCGTACCATTCTTGCCTTTTAAATGTATGGTATTGTACCTAACAATATTGCTTTAGCAATGATGTTCCAGGGTTTTCACATGTTGGTTTACACAAAATATCCATACATATATCTAATTTCTATTATAATACATATATACATTAAACTTTATGCTTTAAACAAAAAATAGAACTTTTTACAACATTACCATTAGACAGGATTAATTTTGACCCCAGTGACACTACTGAAGTTTTCCAGATTGTATGTAAATGATAAGCAGACTGGAAATCTATACACCTGACAATCTATTTTCCTTTCTTCGAATTTTTCCTTGAATATGTGACCATAAGGCTTGGAAATTTTTTAACAACATAGCAATATTCTGAGGTATCCAATGCATTTCTCTGCTTAACTTCAGCTAGAAACTTTTTAAAAGTTTTAAATTTACAAAAAGTGTTTATACCTTGATCATTCAAACAAAAAGTTTCTCCAAAAATTGTGTTTTTCTCTTCTAAACAAACAACTTTGCACATTTCAACATCTTACAGTTCACATATATTCGTCTTACATGTCCACAGATACCACAGATATATATACAATGGATAGGAAGCTCAGAAAATAGTTGATAGTCAGATTCAGATCCACAGTGCGCTTCGGTAATAATCGGGTTTTCCCACTAGTCCCCGATTCTCGCACTCTCGTTAAACTTCGGCGATATCCATGAACTACTGTTTACATTGCCGACATTGTTTTTTTTTTTTTTTGAGAAATATCTGTGTGGAAAAGTGTGTATGGTACGTTTTAACATAAATAACTATTGCTTCTTATGTAAGTAGAAAATGCTTCGTCTTTTTTTTGTCAATGTTCCTCTTGGAATTCAATATGGCGGTATTTTGGCTACTATTACCCAGGATGCAACAAATCTTGGAAAATCCCGAAACACATGATAACTTGCGTTAGAACAACCCCAATAATACTGAATTTAACTGTATGACGTCTAAGTTACTTCTCCATCTATATTAAGCTCCATGACATGTCCAATCAATCAGTAAATCAATAAGTTGATTGATCATTAGAACATTCAATCAACATTCAACAAATCATCAATCAGAGAATGAATCATCGAGTCAATGAAATCGAGGAAATCAACACTCTGAAATTAAACAAATTACATCAACATAAAAATAGAGTTAAATCAATTTCCTATGTCTGAAATGCATAATTATCATTTAAATAAAAACGTCCAAATTTATGGTCAATTACAATAAACCCATTAACACTTTTCTATATGATCTACGTAAATAACCGAGGTATATCGAGTGAAAAAAATACGAGTTGCTTTATGACTTTAAGCGAGGATTTTAGTCAAGAATATTTACTTTTTAGAGATTAATCGCCGTGTTGGCTACAGTAATGAATGTACTTTGTCATCTCAAGACGTCGAGAAAAAATAGCGTTTGGTTGCAGTGAAATAACATCAATTGAAAGTTTACAAAATTTTGATAATAATCCTTTTTTGTTTCATTAAGTTTTAATTTTTAAATTGGAAAAAAAAAACACCGAAAATAATTGTTGGGCTCTGATAATTGCGTCAATTACCGACGGTATAGAAGTTTGTCCATCGTCCATCATTAAGGAAAGTTTGCATTATTAAATTATTTTTCCTTTTCACCGTTTTTTTTTTTTAATATTAATTCTTTTTTATTTATTTCTTCCCCTCCGATCATTATTTATTCGATCCATGTGCTTAATCAACAGATTAAACAATTCATCTTTCATACTCTTAAAACAATAAATCATAAGCATGAAAATCAAGGACGTTATAACATGCAACTTTGACACTTTTATTAAGATAGATTATACAACGCTTGTTCGTATACATTCATTTTTTTGTTGTTGTAAAATTGCGGAGCATCTTTATTAAAGTGAACACACTAGGACAAATGCGGAGATTTGATTAAAGTCGTCGTTTAACGACACAAAATAACATATGCATTTTCATTTTCCATATAATTTTGAAAAGTGCCGTACGGCTAGCCAATACAGCGTGTCCTGGCTAGAACTTTTGGCTAGCCATACCGGCCCCTACAGCTAGCCACTTCCATTAAAATATTTACAACACATTGAACAGCTTACTTAACCTGTAGGTATATTAACATATAATATACTATAGCTATATGCTTTCTACTGGCCGCCACAATCATAAGTTCATTTAATGAAGTTATTATAAAATACATCATAATCATAAATAAATTCTAAACTCACCAGTTCGTGGAATTGAATGTACCAATAATAGCATTATCTTCTTCAAACACGCATACTGTCAAACTCTCTCTCTGCTGTAACTTCTGCAAAATATAATAAACACAATGTGCAAAGTGATAGGAATGAAATGTGAGATTAAGTAAACAGAGAGCTAGATTAACGGATTTTTTCTGAAAACAATTCTCAAAGGTTCCAAATCACGAAAACTGATGACATTTTCAAATCAGACCACACTCATTACTTAATTAAAAAATCATCTATGACATACACTCTATAAACACTAATTTAAACCAAATGCAACTCAAAATAATACTGACCAACTATCAATAATCCATATTTCCAATAAATTAAGAACACTTTGAACTTTTTACAAACAAAGCCGCTTAAACATAGACAAAACTAGTGATATTGCGGAAAACCAAGGGAAACAACTCAAACAACAAAAAATATATCAAGACACCTGAATTATCAACACTGTTAGTTTACACATCATGAAATCCAAATAAGAATTCCAAAACAGATTACATTAGGTTTAAATAATATTGGTAAGTTTTCTGTACCTACTTTTAGAAAATGATGAGATCAGCTTTCACATACAAAAATAGCGTCGAAAACTTTGTTTTGGTACGAACTACTTCCTTAATCAAAGTTAACGCGAATGAATACTAATGATATTTTTTACTGATTATATCCTGAAAACATGCAAATAATATACGATAGAAATAACACAATCAAAAATGAACTACTGACAAAAATCAAAATCTTATCACTTGTGTGTGACAAGAAAATCTGTGTAGAACTACTTTGCGTTGTTAGGTACCCATTCTTATACTGTAATCCCGCAAATTGTGATAGAACTGTATTCACTGCTTACGCAGCGAATACAAAAATAATATTTTCTCTTTTGTTATTTCATGAAATTTCGTTTTAGAACATATCAACAAACATCTAACCTCATATTTAAAAAACAAGGAGTTCCACTGCTGTCAAAAGCTTAAAAACATAAAATTTGAAATGTTTCGGAGATAAAGTCAAACACTTCAAAAATGAAAATATCTACTAAGGGTAATAATTTAAAAGAAAAGTACTCAGAAATAAACTGCAAATCGACAGTTAGGGCAATTCTTAGCCTGATTTGAATGACAAGCGTTGTAATGCTTCTCAGTTTTGAGGCATTTTGTCCAATAAAATGATAATTCTGGAAAAAAAACAAGGTGATGGAATAATCTGAAATTTGCACAAAAACGAAATTGTTTTAGACCTCCATCAAAATTTGTATTACAAATGGCGGTAAAATTACCTCAATGCCGTTCTTGTTTAAAAAGCCCTCAAGTGGAGTGCCCTTTAAACGTTGGAGTAAAAATAATCGAAATAAAGGTTTCGAGATTGCCCCTGGTGGTTTCAATAAAGGAGATATAAATTTAAGCTCCGCCCATATTCCTACCCGCCCACTACCATAATCCGTAAATAAAACGCTATTTAACCCGTATTTTTCGTATTTCCCGCCGCGACAAGACACGAATAACAAGAAGGTTTCGCCCGCTTAAGGTTTTTTTTTTTCCCGGTTTTATTTTGAACCAACCAAACTTTTTTTTAGACTGTTATTAAATAGTTATCAACAAACAATAATATCCCTTGCATTGATTTGCCATTCTTAATGGGCCTTTTATTCAATCAACATAAGCGGACTTTAAATGGTTATAGGCATATAAGTTTTGAAACGTTGTAGATACCACACTTCTTAGAAAAAAAACTCACAAGGTTACTTACTGTCTGAGGTTAAATACTTTTCAAGGAAGTATTGATAAGACTATATTCAACACAAATTAATTTTACTGAGGGGATTCCAATTTGCATAGGAATAAGTAACATTGAACGTTAAACTGCTACTTCACCACTTTCAAATTTTCAAGTCACCATCTGATAGAGATCATCTAAATTCTAATCTCACCATTTTCATGTGTAAAATTTAATTCTGCTTAAACCGGTACTAGGGGCCGTGGAGGGTAGTTTGCACTTTACAGTACCTTCCATGAACAGGCTCAATTATAAACAGAGCCTGAACATTTTGAATTTTAAAGTTTTAGATTTTCTTTAGGGATTATAGTGCGTTCTCTTCAAATATCTGTTGAGACATATGTAAAATATATATTGTTTGTTCAGGACCTAAATATAAAAACCCATCTAACCTATACTTGCACATTCTTTTGTTTTGCGAGACAGTAAGTTGCCCTAAGTATAAGAATTTATTCAAAATGACTCCATTTGTCTAATGTATTGGCATTAATAGGACAGTAGCTAGCAATATAAATTCGACGTGATATAGTATAATCAGTTGGCAATCTTCGAAGAAGTCACTGATACATAACAATAACTCCTTCGGGCATTTGTGAAAGACACAGAGATAAATCTTATTTGAATTAGATCCAAATACAAAAGAATGAGCATAAAATTGGCCAGATATTCAGGTGCTGTTTACGAGTATCAGTTGCGTGATATTTTACAAATAATTCATTGACACAGCAATGAATACGTAATACTCTGAATGTGATGGTACTTGAGAACGCTTTCATTTGTCAGCATTTAAAGATAGAGAAAAGGGAAATCTTTTGTTAAAAGCGTGATTAGATGGATTTGAAAACCTTGAAATAAAGACGATGTCTGTTGAATATCCAACGAGTATTGCTAAGCCAATAAAAAGATTTAAAGTTATAGAAGTAACATTTAATATAGTTTAAAGGTCAAACAGAGATTCTAACTTTAAAAGACGAAATAAAGTATAACTATTAGAAAGAGCTTGGAACGTACAAAATATGATCAAACTATATGACGGACAGTGAACAAAAATAAAGACAAAATATAAGAAGAAAAACAATTGAAAGAAGAATAGGTAAAAAATTGATATATTTATTTCATTAGAATATCAGAATTGTAAAATACAGAATTGACAAATGTGTACACACTGTCTTGGAAATGTGTATATACAGCTCATGTTATCTATGACTTGGTATTTTGGTAATGACGTGAAAAAGATTCAAATAACCAAGTTAAGATATACAATGTCAGTTATTTGTTTTTTCTTCTTTTTCACGCAAAGTTTAAAAGTTAAACCCAAAATATTTTCGAATTTTGATTTCGTTTGCTCTGCCCTTATGACGCCAAATAAAATTGGGGTATCCCCGGGAAAAAACCCGTCCCACAACCAAAGGGACTATATAGATGCGGTATTCCCCCATGTAAATTTTGTTTTAAAAAAATTCTTTTAAAAGCTGGATAAAAATTTTGCCCTTAAAAATGATTAGTCCCCGTTTACGTTCTTTGTATCGGTTAACCCTAATGTTTTAAACATGGGAAAATGCCCGTATATTAACAGAAAAATTGACCAGGTCTTTTACTTTTCAAGAATAAAAGGTTGGGGTTTAACCTTGAACCAAATTTCAAAAGGTGTTGATAATATGAATCACGCTTTATAAGATAATAATATGGCAATGTGTAAACAGACGGACATGAAGAAGTAGAACCATTGAATTTTCAAAAGTATTCTCGTTTTCAGGACTGAATAAACATAAAAAGTAAACTTAAAGTAAAATATGGCAAAAAGTTGACGTAAATATGCTATCTGAATAGAGTTGATGGAATAATGATGACTTATATTGGAATGCATAGTAAAAATTATTTAGAAGTAGAAATGCATAACGTTATAAAAATCTGTACAATTATCAAGTTTTTTATGTGCATGTCGATCTGTGTATGTGATAATAGCCACGGAAACTGTGAAAACTTGACGGAATTCGAGCAGATTTTTATCTCGACTAGGCTACATTCAAGATTCCAAATGGTGATTGATATTGATAACAAAACGGTAAGAGTTAACATTATTGTCACAGTCAGTTTTGAATGCTTACAAAGTGCGTTAACTTTAATATATTAATTTATATATAGTTTGATTTATTGTTTAAATTCTGTGAAAGATCTAAAAGTGTTTTGGTCCTCCAGGGATCCTTGCCACTGGTTCTTGTTGCTATTTTTGCGGTCATTGAACGCCGCCTTTCCTTGTTAATCTTATCAAATTTTGCATTCATACCTTATGAATATTGAATGACATTTGAACACATTAATGACGCAACTATCATTCATTGACTGATTCAATGCAAGCAAATAATAATAGTTATTATCACAGTATAATTACTTATAATTTAAACATAAAAAAGAAGTTAAAACTGAATTGATGCACACGTGGAGATTGGTTGATAAATAATGAAATGCAACATTGTTTTGCATCACGAATTGATATTTCGAAACATTTTGAAAACATGTTCGCGCACAGTTTTAATGCTGTCGATTAAGATAGAGAAAAACGGAATCGCTTAAAACCGCCAAAACGACAAAACTAATAATAATGTAGGCTCCGTTTAAATTGAGTCTGTTTATAGATGATACTGGAAAGTTCAAGGTACCGTCCACGCCCCTAGTACCGGCATAAGCAGAATTCATTTGTAGGGAAATTTTGATATATATTCGGCAATATAGAAATATAATTGCAAACATTTTGGTTTACCTCTATTTGAGTTTTCATGTTATTAAATAAAGTAATTTGGTTTCTGAGGATAATTCGCGAATTTATCAATCAGCCCCCGTACAAAATGGAGACACAGTTAAATGGATCAACTGTGCTCGATTGTATAATGTTGTTTCGAAATTAAAAAACCTACAAATCTTTCAAACTGACTTCTTATTGAATTCTGATAATACTGAGAACTGTTCTATTTATCAGTTTTAAGCTATACTTGGCGTTGTTTTATGTCATAACGCAATGATAGATTGCTTGCTTAGGACAGCAGGTGTACCATGTTTGAGTTTATCAGGTTTATTTTCCCTGTAGACATACATTATCTGCTTTTTTAAATAGCTCAGCCTTAATCAAATATTGCTCGAAAATGCAATGATGATTCAAAAATGTGTCACTGTAAACTTTTCAACTTAAAACTTCAAATGATTTTTCTTTTGTCTGTAGATAGTTATGGGTTTTACTTTTAAACAGGGAAGATCCAGGAAAATGCTTTTAATAGAAAAGAGGGAACGGTTGTGTTGCAAAAAGACCACTTAGAAATTAATAATCAAATAGTAAAATCATAGCAGAAATAAAAAATGCATCAAATTTGATGGAAACCCGTAAAGCTGCATGTAAACAGGTGAGGCAAAATTTAAAAAAATCAAACTTGAGAAAAATTAGCTGTGATTTTTTTTTTTTGGGGGGGGGGGGAGGGGGCGAACATTTAAGATTCAAGTAAGAATTTATATGTAATGTGCGATTATTGACTGATTTTGCCGTATTAATGCCATATTTCTACTGTGTTAGTAACGCAGTGCGTAAGTAACGTAGAATGGGGCTATTTTTGCATATTTCGAAGAACCACTTTTAGTAATGTACGGGGGTTGTGAAGGGCCCCTTTGCCCAAAATCAAATTACTTTTTCTTTGTTAACTCCACAAAATTGTTTTGGGAAAACAAAATTTTTCAAAGATAAAATTTACATGAAAAATCGGGAAAGGAAACTGCAGGGATTTCGCTTGGAAAGGAAAATCGAAAAGGTACTAATGGCCCTCAACACTGATTAA